ACGCCCTGGGTCGTGGCTGGCGTGGACGCTTGGCCTCTTCCTCTTAAAAATGATGTTCTTAAAAAAGCTCCCTTTTGAGAGACAGCCTAAATTCGGGGACTCCTTTCCTGTCTGGGTGCGATCCCTCCGTGTGATGTTAACGTGCTCCAGACACCTTAGAAAACGAGCTTCTCAGCGGCCCGGGCTGGGCTGGGTTCGGAAGGGTGGCTGCTCTGTCCAGCCTTCCCGGAGCTTGGGCTGCAGCTTGCCTCCCGCTTTGCGAGCGTAGTGCATGGGAAAATAGCCGGGAAGTACACGCAGCCCTTGAAAGACTTTGCAAGTAGGGCTTTTCATCACTGGGCTATAGAATATTCCATGGCGTGTTCGCCTTAACCCCGTGATTCTTTGCCGTAGAAAAGTGCGGTTGGTTTGGTTTCCTTGGCAACCGTGTGGGGGTGTCTTCTAATTTGCCACAGCCGGTCTCCTACGGATGCCTCTTTGCTTTCTGCCGAGGGACCAGTGCTGGTTGCAGGCTGAGAAAAACTGCCTCTTTGCCTGTGCTGATTTTTCGTTTTTGAGATGCAAGTGGTGCCCGAAGTTTTGTGGCTTTTGTTGTAGAAGTCACTTTGCTCCCCCAGACCAAGCCCCGCTTAGTACTGGTATTGCAGCGCTCCTCCCCCGGCTGTTGGCTCGCTTCCACACCCCCTCTCCTGCAGTCCCACCCCCATCCACCCACTGCCCCTGGGTCTGGTGGTGCCAGGATGTGAGGGTACTTCTCATGTGCGCATGTGTCATTTTTGTTCTTTTCTTTTCTTTTGTTTTTTTTTCCGGTACCGGGAATCGAACTCACGACCTTGCGCTTGCCAGGCAGGCGCTGTGCCGCTGAGCTACATCCCCAGCCCCCGCATGTGTCATTTTTGCTTTTGTGCTTTTGGTCTTGGTAAAATTGTTGGAGGTGAAAGCCTCTCTTAATGGTGGCAGTAGAATAACGTTTGTGGAGTTTGTCAGAGCTTTAATATTAGTCAGCTGGGGATGTTACTCATTCTCCCTATAAATACCTGAAATGCGCTTAGTTTTGGCCTTTCGCGGTCCGTGATTAATGTGGTTTGTTCACTAGAAATTCCCCTTCAGTAGCTCGTTGCTTCTGGCCCAGTGTTGTGTCTCAGGCTGGGTAGACTCAGGTGCAGGCTTGGAAACCGGTGGGGACTCTCCTGAGGGTTTCGCACGCGCAGGTTCTCCTGTGGGAGCTGCTGAGGTTATCTTGAATCCTGGTGTCCACTGTGTGGCCAGGAGCCGCCTGGAAGAGCTGTGTTCACGTATTAGCCCCTTTATGTCTTCTGTGGAATCTTAACTGTCCCCCAGCACTATGCTTTGTGACATTAGTGGTCATGTCTTTCAAGTTGCATAGAAATCTGGAACAGCTCCTTAGCTTGCTTGCTTGTTTGTTTGTTTATTCATTTATTTGACACAGGTTCTCAGTATGTAGTCCAGGCTGGTTTTGAAGTCACCCATGTAGCCTGGGCTGGCCTCAACCTTGCAGTGATCCTCCTGCCTCACCCTCCCGAGTGCTGGCATTACAGGTGTGCACCACCACGCCTGGCGTTAGCCTTTTTTCCCTTTCAAGATGTTGACTTTTTAAATGCCTGTCACTTATGTATAGTGTCTCCCATTTTAGGCCTGTCTGTGTCTCTCTAGGATGGGTGCGGATTATGCGTTTTTGTCAAGGATTTCATCAAGAGTTTTCAGTGCACCTTCTCAGACTTCCTGCAGTGTGTCTCTTCTTGCGGTGGGTTCTACTTTCCTGTTTCTTCCGTGTGTGGTTCAGTGTTCTGCCTCTGGTGAGAACAGTTTGGTGTGC